GGGGGGGGGGGACTTCCACCATAATACAGAAGGCCTTCACCTTCAAAGACGTTTTTAATCTAATTTCTGTGAATCATGATTCCCCAATTCCGTGTTTTGCAAAACAGACTGACAGGATGTCGAGCACTAATGAGCAATCAGACAGAAACGCTTCAGTACACGCAGCTCTGTCAGCGAAGGTATTATCATATCTTAAAGTTAGTTCGTTTTTTTTGTTTTTAATTTAGTTAAGGAAAATGGTTTGAAATATTGTTCAATTATTCAACCCTCTTGTTAAAATTCAATCAATGAACGCGGTCGAGAGGCCGCGGAGAAAGCCAAGATGAATTGCTCTCATATCTCGGGATTGATCAACTGTACAAGAGACAAACACACGCACGCAGTGCGCACACATACTTGGCGTACGTGATGTACCAGATCAAAACGAATCTGCATACATCCACGCCAGATACGGGGTTCATCGACGGTGCGTCGGCCTGCGCCGCGTTGTTTTGCCCTCTCAGCTGGAACCACAGCAAATGTAAAGGATAAAGAGCCACCGTCGGCTTTGTTATCTGCAGATGCACAGGAGCAACTGTGTGTGTCGACGCACAACTGTGCCTTAACAAAAGCAAACACTTGCTGATGCGCCCTAATGCCGAGATAGTTTATCCGTGTGTACGTGTGTGTCCCGGTGCAGGGCTTTGGTGATTATGAGTGCATGCAGATCTGGTTGATAAGGCTTTTTGATCTCTGGAGGGAGGCAAGCCGTATTTGCATCTGACATTAAAGACGGGACTGAGAATGGCGGCTTTCTACAAAGCTGACAGAAGGAGAAGCCCATGCATAATGCACCTGTGTGGACAGAGAGGAGCCGAGCGCTGGGGCTCTACCACCTGCTTGCTCTTCTAGGCTGCATCATCGCCGCTTCCTCTGTCATCTCCCTGACAGCAGCAATGAGTCGGGAGAGACTCTGAGGGGAAAGAGAAGAGGTGGAAATGGCAGAGATTACACTTCTTCCTTTTTGAATATGCAATCGTTTCTGGGAACCACTGTGACTGAGCAACATTGCTGAGCAGCGGAGAGAGCGTGAGGGATTTCTTGTATCTGTGTGGGAGAGATCAAGATGAGAAATAAAGAACACACACACACACACACACACCAAAAAAAAAAAGATGGATTTAGAAAGAGAGAAGGTGGGAGAAGGCAAGTGTGCAGCCTTTGAGGCATTCCATCATCCACCAAACTCCTGCAGCTCTCCTCTTCCCTCCTCCTCCTGTGGAAAGAGAAAAAGAGCGCAACAGAGAGAGAGGAAGAGCTAGGGAGGGGGGACAGAAACAGAGAAAAGGAGGGAGAGAAAGAGAGAGAGAGAGAGAGAGAGAGTCACGCTTACAAGCCAGTGGAGAAGGGACGTCAAGAGGAGGATCTACAAAGAGAGAGAGAGAGAGAAAAAAAATCCTTCTCTCTCTTCTGCTGCCTCTCTTCGTGCATCCTACGGACAGTGAGGAGCGGAGAGGGGAGAGCGGAGAATCCAGCTGGCGTATTTTTCTACCCTGTGATTTCAGCGGCTTTATCACAGTGCGTGGAGCACGGGGGGAGAGCTGCTGAGAGCTCGAGCGGTGACATCGTTCCGCAGCCGAAGAAGAAGAGTGCAGCACAGGAGCAGGGATGCTTAACAATCTGACCGACACAGAGGAGGGGGACGGGGGAGCGCAGAGCCAGGGTGAGTGATGGGATGTGTCATGCAGTCACTGACACACACACACACACACATACACACACATACACACACACATACTTACGCGCATACTGTAAAGGTGACCGTACAGTCAGGTAAGTAGGGGGGGAAAAAAAAAACACGACACATTTATTATTAAGGTTTACATGACATTACAACCTGATGCAAGTGAGTGCTGACTTAAAGAGTCGGTGTGTCAGTGTGTGTGTGTGTCAGTGTGTGTGTGTGTATTTAATACAGCATCATATGGTGGAGGCCCTGCTTTTCCCCTCTTTGCTCCTCTGCTGTTGCGCTTACTGCAAGGCTGTTGTGACAGGAATAGTAATGGGCTGTGTCCATAGGATGGATGGAGAGGCTGAGGGCAGAACAGCTCTGTCCAGCCCACATATCTGTGTCAACTTACAGTCACACACACACTCACACACACTCACAAAAGATTTACTTCGTCTAGTCTTTTTTTTTTTTAATCGAGAAAAAATTCATTTACAAAGAAAAAAAAAATTCATGCACATACCGCTGCTCCAAAGAACTGATACCGAACCAGCGCTGTTTTTAATCCAATCACCTGCGGGTGACAAAAGCAACTCTCCGTCCAATCCCCTGTCGCTGAGCCCCGGCTTCAGCCTCTGCAGGATTTCCAGAGAAGACCTGTAGGTTTCTGGATTGCGTCGAGCTGCACTGTGAGGGATGTGACACCAGGTGTTCAGCAGAAGGCTGGAGCGCTGTCAATGAAATGAACACATGCCCTATTGGGAAAAACATTAGGCGACTAATGTTATTATAGTCCCTGGTCCAGCCATTAGTTTCTCAAACAGAGGAGAGGTTCATTAATGTCCCAGGCTTTCAGGGAGGTGTCAAATGTGAGGGACGGTCACTGTGCTGCTGCTCCTACCTGTGAAGACTTTATTAAAGAATTACATAGTGTTGGGGACATGAATATTTAATTTAATGCAGACAAACCTTTTTTTTTTTTTAAGAGATCTGGCTGTAGCTGTGCTGCAGGATAAGTGGTTCGTGACGTGACATCGCGTATGGGTTTGATACATTCCAAAAAATATCTAGGGCATAATGTGACGTGGAGAGAGTCAAGACGACATCCAAATAATGTGACGAAGTTTTCAATCCTGATCCCATGCAACATTCCCCTCTCATCTCTGCGTGTCTTCCTGTCACTCGGCTCTAACAGAACCTGAAGCACTGAAACTCACACACAGGCAGACAAACACTCTGTGTAGCACTCCAAAAATATTCTTCCACCTCACTATTACAGTAAGACATATTTAAAAAAAAAATCTTTCCCATGATTCATACCTCTGCCAAAGTTACTGTACAACCACCTAAATAACTCTGTTTAGTCATCATACCGTTGCAGGCCAGCTCCAGAGAGGGAGGGCTACCTGCCTCCTCACGGAGGGAATTTTTAGGGTTATACTTTCCCCGTCCTTGGAGGGCTGATACACATATTATATAAAAGAGCCAGAGTTTCATTCATACCGAGATCCAGTTTTGTACTTCTTTCCCACCTCGGTGATTTCTCGTCATACAGAAGTTTGCAATGAGAGATTGGTTGTACCGGTGTGTGTGTGCTCGTATGTCCTCCCTGTTCTGCATCAACCAAACAGAACATTTACTTCACACACACCTCAGTAGACCTCTGTGGTCACACTGACGTGTAAAGATTGACTTGGGCCGTTGGAGGTTATCTGCTTTCTCTGGTGCTGAAAGCCCACAACCACTTCCTCCCTATTCCAGGAGGTGAGGGCAGCACGGCGCTGTCCAAGGTGCTGATTTATAGCCTTCATTACATGGCCAGATTATAGCCGGCAAAAGGACAGAGAGGAGATTTGCATACAGTATCAGGGTGGAGGGAGGCAGGTGTTTGTTGGTGGCGCTGTGTTCTTTGCGCTCTCCCCCTCTACGGAGTACACAAAGATGTAATACTCAGGGAGAGGAGGAAATGAATGTTGCTGGAATCTGAGCTGAATGGGCTGTCAGTGTGGTGATCCCAACATCCATATTTCTTTTCTGTGGTGCAGCTGAGAAGTGGGGGAGGACAGGGTTTGGGTTCGGGTCCTGGTTTAGTGATCACTTTAATTAAATAACTACTGGAACTGCATTTAATATTTCACATATTGTCTGTCATGGTGTCGTTGTGTAAAACATGCAAGAGTTACTGAATTTTCTAGAAATGTAATCTTTTAAGAATGTATGTATATATGTCTATATACATATATACACACACACAAAATATATATGTGTATATATATAATTTATATATTTATATATTCATATATTTCTATACTATATATTTATATATATATATTTATATAAATACATAAATATATATATATATATATATACAGTACATATATTTTGTGTGTGTATATACTTACTGCTGCAGAACATTTCTGTGCATGTGTTCTGTATCTGAGACCAGTAAAAGGAAGTTCACACTCATGCCCTGAAGCTAACATGACATAAGCTTGAAAGTCATTCTCAGAGAGCTAAGAAAGCTCCAAACCCTCTTTCTGTAACATATATAACATACGTCGTTTGGAACGACGACCCCAACTCACACTTGACGCACCATTATCCAGCCCAGCATGTCCAGTTCATAGAACAAACGTAGCGTCACCAATGGCTGTTCCATTTAATGCTACATTAGCAGCCTGTTGCAGGCTAACGCTAAAGCAGGTAATCGGTGGAAATCGTTCTCAGCAAGTCACCAAATAATCAGAAGACATGGTCTTAATCATTTTAGAAAAATGTAAAAAAAAAAAAAAAAAGTAAATAATGCATTTTGTTTTTAAAAAATTTAGTACGTTTTTTTTTTTTTTTCTTCAAGACAACATTAACAATCTTCAAGGCGATACAACATCCCTCCCTATTTATCCGTCCGCTTCCTCCCTCGGGTCAATCCATACTGTCGGTCAAGGCAGTGGTTGTAATGTAGTTACTGTATGGCTGAATGCGTAATACTGCAAAATGCTCCCCAGGGTTCTCTCCTGGGGAGGCAGTTGTTGTGCATGCGGCGTCATTATTCTCTGTCTGCCCGCCGCAACTTATCTGTTAGGAGAGAGAGAGAGAGAGAGACGGCCAGAGAGAGAGAGAGAGCAGTTAGTGAGCTGTTGCTGCCTAATGAGGCTCCACAGACACTTGTGCTGTTCCTCATTACAAATATATTGGGTACTTTCACATTCTACATGTTGAATTGTATATACTGGATGTGTAGTAGAAACGGGGCACTGTGCTGCAGAGAGTGCCGTTGCTGTAAACGACCAAGTTGTAAATGAGAACAGGGAGGTTCTACAAGAACCAGATATAACAGCCTTCCATCCATCCATCCATCCATCCATCCATTTTCATCCGCTTATCCGTTACCGGGTCGCGGGGGCAGCAGTCGCCCCCAAATCACATTGCACCGTACCTAAATTAAGTTACTTTATTAAATTACTACATTGGGTAGAATTAATTAATGATGACTGTGATTAATTAACTCAAATGATTAATCAATTAAAGTTGCATAACTTTTATTCAAGAAATCATTCTAAATGTATATTTAGAGACAGTGATCAATGGACATTCAAAATAATATGAATGATGATTAAAGAATACAGGCAATAATATTAATAATAATAATAATAATGTATTAACTTGTTTAACATTTCTTTTTCCTGACAAATCCACAAATCCAAATTGTACTAGAGATGGTTGTTAGGGGTTTGGTAGAGTCGAACTACAGACCCACTGGAACACATCTTAGCCCTGTGGTGTGAAGCCATCTTTTTCAGTCCAGCTCAGACGTAGTACTGTTCACAACCTGGCCTCTGTTATAATACGTCTGATTTCAGTCTATTTTTAACCAGAGTAAACGGGAGAAGAGTAAATGGCTCTCCAAAGTTTAATATCGACTCTAATTATCAGACATTGGATTCAATTTTCTGAAGATGGGTTTTAATGAAACCTGAATACAATGCCTTATATAAGGATTGGGCAAATGAATGGATCTGGCTGCTAATTAGAGTATCAGTAGTGGCTGTCCAGATATAATGGATGGTGTTCATTCATTGGTTTGTCAATTAAAAAAAGCAGCAGAGTATAATTGGCAGTGAAGGGGCTTCATGCTGCTGTTGACTCACAGTGTTCTGATGAAAAGCTCAGACAGAAAGGGGGCAGGCTCATTTTCATGTTAATAATAATAATAATAATGTCACACACACACACACACACACACGCACAGACCCTCATTCATACATTATTTACATTTGTTGTGTTTCTCTATCGCCAGTGAAACTAGTTCAACTTTAGTGGTGTTTATCATTCATCGATTTTGTTGCCGTGACTTTAGTTTAGTTTAAATGTAATTTAAAAATCAAAAATTGATATGAGCTGTGAAAAAGCAGAGGTAGGAAAATATATTTTAAGTATAAATTAAATATAAAATGTATAAATTTTTTTTTTTAGATAATTGGATGAACAGTAAAAAATAGTAAAAAAGGGGGGGGCAGACTCAACATTTTCATCATTTTTAACACCATTTCTTTAAAAAAAAAAAAAAAAGATTTTTAAAAATCTTTTAAAAAGTCAGTGAAGTCAGGAAGTGGACTTGGGTCGGGAAGGTTTCAGGTTTGGGGTTCCAAGTTGCCACTCAGGTGCTCTGAGCATGGCACTGTCCCCGCACACTGCTCCCCGGGTGCTTCAGCTGCCCCCTGCTGGTAGGGGTTAAAAGCAGAGGTCGCATTTGTCAACTCTTGTGTTTGTATGAGTATTAAAATCTGAAAAAAATTCCATGTTAAGGTGGATTAGGAAAAGATAAAAAATAGGGTTTTTACTTGACCTGCCTTAACTGAGGGCCATCATGTAATTGACCACAATTTAGACTAAGAGCACTAGTAAAAAGGAACAGGAAAATATCTTAACCAAGTCACTCGTAAACATATCAAATCTCTTCACTCTAAAAATACAAACATGAGTCGATGTCATTG